CGGTGGCCTTTATAACGAGGCGTAGGAAGTGGCAGTAAACGAAACGAGGATACGTTGAACTGGAGCTCATATTGGTACAGGAAATCTATGGCATGGAGCAGTCGCGGACTGCTACGGGTGCTCCATCAACATCTGTCAACGAGAGGAGAGGCAAAATGACTTTAAGATGCCATTGGATGTAGGTACATCCTTTAGTTATCTCTCTCTTCTTTTCTCATCCCGGCCTTTTGCCTGGCGTTCGCTACCAAGAAAGCGTGATATCCAAGTTTCGGAGCTCCGAGTTATGACATCAAGCCTGTGTCGACGCTAAGCTAAATCGGGGCAGCACATAAACATTGATTGGCGACCAAAGCCAAATCTTCCACCCTGATCAAGAACCAAGCACTGAATTGATATTAATACATTCCTTACCCATACGGAATAAAACCGCATCGCACCGACCGGAACTAGAAGGGCCATACAAATAATTCGACCCAAAAGGAAAGAAAAGCGAAGCAAAGCAAAGCAAACGTAGATAGATCATGGAAACGCCCCACCACCGCAAAATCGAACTGCAATCCCCCGCCGACCTCTCCTATCTTTACGCAAACACCGTCGCCCTCTCCCGCCAAAAACTAGACCTCCATTTCCCTCCCTCCGCCGCGCCCAACCATGTCTCCAGCGCACAAGACAATCCCTCAAACCCAGACCCGGACTCAGACCCCATGAAATCCCACGTCCGCAGCCTCGTCGACGAATTCATCCACAAAACCTTCCTCACCGCCGCCCCCTCCATAAGCATAAATGGGCTATCTCCAGCAGACGCCGCTGCTGCGGGCAACGATAATAATAATAATAATGCACATGGCCCTACAGACCCCCTCTCGTTCCTCCACGTTCGCGAAGCCGTCGAGTACGAGCCGTACGATACGGAGCTAGGGGCGCGTGTTGCTAGTTTGTACGCGCAGTTGGAGTCGCTGACGATGACTGTGGCGCAGTTGAGGCGTGATACCCCCAGGAAAGCGGCGGAGGCGTATGCGGAGGCGTTAAGGGGGTTTTTGAAAGAGGACGACGAAGATTGGGAGGTGGATGGGGAGGGAGACGGGAATGGTGATGATGGTGATGATGGTGGTCATGGTGGTGATGGTGGTGGAAATAGAGATGGCGCCGATGTGGATATGAAGGATTTGGATGGTGAGACGACACAGCTACGACGGCGTGAGCGGAGACAGGGTTACAGGAACAGGAAAGAGGGTTTCACGTTGCATGTTCCGTTTGGACATACGGAGGGCATGAAGAGGAGGTGGGTGGAGGGTGGAGTTGCGGATGTGTATGCGGACGCGTTGACGACGTTGGTAAGATTGCAGGGCGAGGCGGCAGGGGTTGGGGACGCGCATGATTGTGGTGATGAGGATGGGGATGGATCTGGATCTGGATCTGGCTCCGGCGGCCAGCGCGGACTGGCGACGACGGTGGGAAAAGTTGAGAGGGCAAGGAGGGGCAGCGGAGGTGGTGGAGAATTTATAGGAAACGCGATGATGCACTGGACCTTTTTTCTTTTCCTGCATTCTTAGTTTGTCCTCTCTGCTAGCCAGGGACGTATTGGCCTTCTTCTCTTCTCTCTTTTTTTCATTCCTAGGTTTTAAAGGTTGGGAACTGGCGTGGGGGAGTGGTTGTTTGCTTTGTATAATGGGCAAATTGCCATGCCA